GGGGGCGGCCTGACCCCTCCCCAGTGTGATAGTGCAAAGGGGGAGCGCTTGACACCCCCCCAGTGTGATAGTGTAAGGGGGGGCTGCCCAACCCCCCGTGTGATAGTGCAAGAGGGGGTGCCTGACCCCCCCTCAGTGTGATAGTGCAAGGGGTGGCTGTCCAACCCCACCAGTGTGCTAGTGCAAAGGGGCGTGCCTGACCCCCCCAGTGTGATAGTGAAGGGGGCATGCCTGACCCTCCCAGTGTGATAATTTAAAGGAGTGGGCTGCCCAACCACCCTGCCAGCATGATAGTGCAAGGGGGGGTCTGCCTAACCTCACCAGTGTGATAGTGCAAGGGGAGCTACCTGACCCCGTGCAGTGTGATAGTGCTTGCACTTTGCAGCCAGGATGGGCCACCCCACACCCCCCAGTAAAACCCAGCCAACCTCAGGGGGCCACTTGCACCCAGATCTGGCCGGGGCGGGAGGGGGCTGCAGCAGTACAGGGAACCCAGGAGTCTGGGGATAGGCAGAGGATCCCCCCTTGCACGGAGGGGCCCGGCAGCCCTTAGGGCTGCTCCGTTTCCCCTGGAGACTAATGACGGCACCTGCCCCCCACCGAGTCCCCCAGGACCCAGCCTTCCTTCCCCAGCCCGTGTAGCTGGTTCCACCCCAGAAGCAGCTGCATGTCAGGCCAGGTGGCAAGGGCTCACCCTCCCAGCAGAGCATGGGACCCACCATGCAGCTGGGGGCTGGATGCATCAGCCCCGGGGGGCTCTGGGGCAGGGCGGCCCCCCTGCTGCGGCTGGCTGGGCAGGAGGGGCCACGGTCCTGGATGGGAGCCACAGCCCCGTGACAGGGCATTTTGCAAACTTCCAGGCTCCTGGCAAAGCCAGGCCCAGCCAGGCAGGCAGCAACCCAGGGAGCAAGAAGCGCACAACCCTTGTGCAACAGACAACTTCTCGCGCGACAGTGCACCCCCCTCCTGTGACTGGCCCATATCCCTCCTTGTGCAACAGGCACACACAGCCCTTGTTCAACAGGTGTGCACATCTTGTTCAACAAGCTCCCTCCTTGTGTGACAGACACCCCATGCAACAGGCACACACAGCCCTTGTGCAAAAGGTGTGCAGCTCTCCTCGTGCAACAGGCCCACATCCCTCCTCATGTGACAGACACCCTGTGTAACAGGCACGCACAGCCCTTGTGCAACAGGTGTGCGTACCTTCTTGTGCAACAGGACCACAACCCTCCTCACGCGAAAGACACTGCCCCGTGCTCAGGGCAGGAGACAGGGCAGGGGGTGGGGGTGGGAAGAGAGTCTGGAAGCCCCCAGGCCTGCGCTCCCTGCCCCAAGGCCTGGGGGGCAGAGCGGCAGGGCTGGGGAAACTGAGGCACAGGGATGCCACAGGGCAAGGGCAGAGGGGAGCGTCGGACCCAGGTGTCCCAACTCACAGCTCAGTCTGGGGCTGGGGTGGAAAATCACAGCTCTGACCTCCAGGCCAGGGAATGTGGGATTGTGGGGGCGCGGCAGCTGGGGGATGTCAGGGCTGGAATCACAGCTGGGTCCTCTCTGCCCCCCCCAGCAGGTCACATGCTTGTGATCCCCCCACATTCCCCACCCCCAAGCCCCAGCTGAGCTCAGCTTCCAGCTGGGACTGGTTCCCAGTTCCCTTGACTCTGGGAACTGGGGCAGTCCCAACCTGGAGAACAGAGTGGGGAGGGGAGCCTGGGAGCAAAAGGAGCGACTGTCGTGTCCCCCCCTCGCGGGAGGGGGTGGCACAGGATCAGGCCCCTGCCCTGGGCCCGTGGGGCATATCCTGGTGAAGGGTGCCCACCCCCCAGTTCTCAGAGGGGGTCTCAGCCCCTGCCCCTCACTCAGAGACCATGTGAATGGGGGGCGTCCTGCTGTGCCAGGGACTGCACAAGTTCCCCCTGCCCCCCCCCCAACACCCCAAAAGCTCAAGCCTGAGGGTCCCAGGGGGAGTGGAGACCGCGAGAGGGGAGGGACTTGGTCGTGGGGCCCCCGCAAAGTCAGACACCCACTTCGTGTGACAGGCATACCCCCTCTTCTTACAACAGCCCCCCCCCTCGTGTGACGGGTACACACTCGGTTGGGCAACCAACACCACCTTGTGCAACAGGCACTCCCTCACGCGACAGGCACACACGCCCTTGTGTAACAGACACTCTCTTGTGCAACAGGCACCCCCCCCATGCATGCAGCACA